TAATGTTCTTCCTGAGACTTTAGAGTGTTCCATGTATATAATCATATCATCTGTAAATAAAAGTAGCTTTCCTTTTCTTTGCCCATCTGGGTGCTTTTCATTTCCCTTTCCTACCTTTTTGCTCTAACTAAGATTTCAAGTACAGTATTGAATAGGAGCTGTGGTAGAGAGTACCCTTGTCTGGTTTCCATTTACAATGGGATAGAATAAGATTAATGTTGGCCATATTTTTTGTATGTATACCCTTTATTATAGAAGAATTTACCTTCTATTACTATTTGTTAAATTTTTTTGCTAGAATGGGTTTGGATATTGTCCAAGCCTATTTGCAATGATTAATAAATCATGTGGTCTTTTCCTTTGTCTTATTTATGTGGTGGATTACATTGATTGCTTTTCTAAAGTTGAGTCAACCTCTCGTGCTTATCATAGCCATGATGCTTTTTTTTTTTTTTTAATGTTGGCATATACTAGTTAGGATGTTGTAGATAGAGATTTTTTTGAATGTATACTCCTGATAGGTAATGTCTTTTTATTTTTTTAAGTGATTTCTTTGCCTGGTTTGGGTATCAGGATTATACATAAAATGGATTCAGGAGTATTCCAATTTTTTTCTATACTATAGAATATCTTAAGTAGAACTGGTGTCAGCTCTTTGGTAGAATTCTCCAATGAAACTTCTAGGCCTGCACTTTCTTTTGTTGGGAGTTTTTAAATGACCTGACCAATTTCTTCTTTTGTTATAGGTCTTTTAAGGCTTTCTATACATGTGTGTTAAGTTATATAGTGTGTTTCAAGAAATTCATCTATTTTTCCTAGGTTTCCAAAGTTGTTGGAGTACAGTTCTTCTTAGAATTGTGTTGTTGTCCCTTTTATTTCAGTTAGTTATGTGGTGATTTTGCCCATTTAGTTTATTTATGTTATTTGAATATTTTCCTTTTTCTTTATTGCATTCCTTGGTGGCTTTTCAATTTTACTAATTTTTTAAAAAAAACAACTTCTAGTCTGTTGATTCTTTCAGTTGTTTTACTGTCTTTCATATCATTTATTTCAGTTCCAGTCTTTATTATTTCTTTTCTTCTGGTGACCGTATGCTTATTTTGCTCTTCTTTTTATAGTGTTTGGAGGTGTTGGGTTAAAGTATTGATTCTGATTCTTGTTTTCTTTTTTATGTGAGGATGGGGGCTTGCTATACTTCTGGTCACCAGAAGGCTGTGACAAACAGGGGTAGGGCTTGGGGCTAAGGTTTCTGCTCTTCATTCACCAGTGTGGGTACGTGTGTGGCCTTAGATGAGCAGATCTGGTTATCAGGTTGTCTTGATTGAAGCGAAGCTTTCATAAGTTTAATGTGGCCATACTATGTCAGGCCAGCTAACAATTCACCATTCTGTTTATCTCTTTGTTTGCTGTTTCTGTACAGTTTTTTCCTACTCAGTACTGGATCATTGTCATCTGTATCTGGTTCATTTGTTCTCTCTATTCTTAGTTGTAGTGGGTCTCGGTGGGCTTTCAACTTACTCTGCCATCTTGCTTATAATCTGGATTAATTAACTTTTATTCCCACTTTTTCTTTAAAGATTTGAGACAGCATATAAAAATTCATATAATGCAATAGTAAAGAAAAGTTAAAATTCAGGTAGAAAGATTACAAATTTGATTAAAATTCCAAAATTTATGCCTGACAGCATCATATACTTGCTAGGAAAATGGGGTATGTTGGATTGGATTTTGACCTCAGGGTTTTACATCAATTAGAATCACAGAGTACATAAGGAAAGTTAATCCACATGCTTATCCTAGCTCTAAACTGAGGAAGAATTTCTTTTGAAAAGTTTTATAAAAGGTTCATTGTTTGCTATTTTAACCTACAACCTCAGCAGTAGTTTTATTGTAGATTGTATCCATTAGTATTGCTGTATAACAAATTCGTTCTTTAGTCAGTGGGTGTGGAACAAGAGAGATTGCTGATATCAGATGGATCTTGACTCAAAGCAGAGAATGCCAGAATGATTTTTCCTTTTTTTTTTTTAAATTGACTATGCCATGGCCTTTGACTATGTAGATCATAATAACTCTGGGTAACCTTGAGAAAAATAGGAATTCCAGAACACTTCATTGTGCTTATGTGGGGTATTTTACATAGGTAAGAAGGCAGCTGTTTAAACAGAACAAAGGAATATGGCATGGTTTAAAATCAGGAAAGGTATGTATCAGTGTTATATCCTATCACCATACTTGTTCAAGATTGGAGGAAGGCTTAGTAACTACTACCTGTGCGGCATGCAGATGATGCAACCTTGCTTTCTGAAAGTGAGGAGGACTTGAAACATTTGCTGATGAAGATCAATGATTGCAGCTTTCAGTATAGATTATTAGTCAATGTAAAGAAGACTAAAATCTTCATAACTTGACCAATAGGTAACATCCTAATAAACGGAGAAAAGATTAAAGTTGTCAAAGATTTCTTCTTGCTTGGCTCCACAGTTAATGCTTACGGAAGCAGTAGTCAAGAGATCAAAAGAGAGTTGAATTGCATTAGGTAAATCTGTTGTACAAGACCTCTTTCCAGTATGGGAAAGTAATGTTGCCTGGAGGACTAAGGTGCACGACAAGCCCTGGTATTTTCCATTGCCTCATATGCATGGTAAAGATGTACACTGAATAAGGAAGACTGAAGAAGGATCGATGCATTTTCACTGTGGCGCTGGAGAAGAATACTGAAAGTACCATGGACTGCTCAAAGGACAAACTGATCTGTTTCAGAAGTATGATCAGAATGCTCCTTAGAGATAAAGATGGCAAGACTTCTTCATACATACTTTGACATAGTGTCAGAAGAAACCAGTTCCTGGAAAACAACATCATGCCTTTAAAGTGGTAGGACAGCGTGAAAGAGGAAGGTGTTCAACGAGTGGAATTGACACAGTAGCTGTAACAATGGGCTCAGACATAAGAAACATTATGAGCATGGCACAGGACTGGGCAGTGTGTGTTGGTTCAAAACTCACTATATGGCACCTAACAACAACAACATAGTCATTGACTTAAAATAACCACCATTAGTGCATAGGTTATCACACTCATTTGGCCTCCTGACCCCTTTTCAGAAAAATAACAACAACAAAATTCCTCAGCACCACTCTGCTGGCAGATTAAAAAAAAAAAAAAAAAGCTGTACTACAGCCCAGTATCTCAGGAAATAGTGTAGGTATCTGTGTTTGTATCCTTCTTCCCAGGGGTGGCATTGCCTACTTTGGGAAACACTGATTTAGGTCTTGACTTTATGAGTTGGCAATTTTGGTTGAGCTCTGCTAGGGAGTTCTTCTGCCAACCCTATCTGGATTCACTCATGTTTATAGGTTATGAAATGGTTGGCTTGGCAGCTCTGCTTCTGTGGGTTGGCTGGCAGGTGGAGGGCATTGGAAGTTACAGGAACACATGTCTTTCATCATCATTTAGGCTAGCTCCATCTGGTTCATATAATGGCCTAGGGTTTCAGGAAGACAGCAACCCCCCATTTACAATGTCTCTCAAGTCTGTGAGATCAGTTTTGCTACCAATGTCAGTCATGTGAAGAAGTTCAGAGTCAGTGTGGAAAAGAACTAACAGAGAATATAGACAGAGGGAGCTGTGAACACATTACAATGATTAATTAACTATCTAGTCATGTAATTACTGTGACTGAATCTTGTAAACTGTTTATTGCAGTGTGAGAATAGCTTGCAGGTAATACCAGGTAGTGAAAGTAAGATAATAATAAACTGAAAAAAAGGTGCTTAAATATGTGGCATTCTAGTGGAACAATTTAATCCCAGTGTAGATATACACTGTCAGTTATTACAGTGATTTTTAAATAGTTTTAGCAGCAGATTCTCTTCCATCCACCATGATCCATTTGAATAAGTGGAAAAGCCCTTTCTTGCCAATATATTCAAACTGGAGATTTTGGATGTTTGAAGGGATGGAGGACCAAGTGCTTGATCCTCTGGAAATCCATGTTATCTCTCTCAGCAACTCTTAAAGCCCCTGTGTATACGTAAGGCATTTGAAGATTAAGATACTTCCATCTAGGAACTTTACTAAGGCTTTAGCTCTCAGCCCAAAAAAAGTCTACCCTACAAATGGATGCTTTCAGAATGCAGGGAAAGTAATTCTTCTCTTCCGCTATATGACTACCGATTCATAAGAAGAGATAGACTTTGCTTTACAAAAACAAATACAACAGAAAATTTTAAATTATTTATTTATAATTACAATTATCATATAACAATTACAAGTGTTTCTGATTTATCATATTGCTTTATTCAGAACTGTTCTTTAAGTCTTCCCTGTAGAATAGCTTGCCTTTTCTAAGTACCAGACTGCTGCAAACAAAATGACAGACTTAGGTGTGAAAACAAGTCATAGGTGACAGCAACCGGCAACATCAGGAATCTCTGTCTCCTTTTGCATTTCTTTTGGATCATTGGCTGTTCATTTAAATCTTGACCAGCCTGAAAAGAAGAAAAAGAAATTGAATCTCAGAGTTACAGTTTTTAAAATTGGTTTAGATCTTTGCTAAAGTAGGTATTTATAGATTTTTATTTTACTTGCTTGGTTGATTGATTCAACATTCAAATTTATAGGCACAGATTTCACTTAGGGATTCGTGGGAAGGAGGGATTGGTGTGTCATGAGGAAGGACCTGTCTGCCCTCAGTATCTGAATTTTTGGTTTTAAAATAGTCATTTTCCAAATGTCCCAGGGATGTGCTTATACTGAGAAAGGCTTATTAATAATATTCTTGTTGACATTAAATGAGTACTATGAAGAATGTGAAAATTTTCAGGAAATTATGGAAAACTCATTGGCAGAAGGAACTTTGTAACACAGGAAATTAGAATTTAATTGGTAACAAGGTAATCCGCTGGCTTTATACAATTGTATGAATATAATTTACTGAGCAGCACAGGCTACAAAATGAATATTAATGAAACCTTTATTTTCTTATTTTTAACCAGGCTGTGTTCTAGATTCTCAGAAAGGAATTGCTGTGGGTAGATCCTTTTCTCTCACCTGGCGGAGCCACCCAGATGCCACTGAGCCAATGAGATTTAGGAGTGCTACTACATCTGGAGCACCGGGGGTTGAGAAAGCAAGAAACATTGTTCGCCAAAAAGCAACTGGTAAATATTTTTCTAAGTATTTCTCAAAGTTGTGTTTGCTGTCTGAAATTGATTTACCAAAGATAAAGTAGTTAGATTTTTAAAATCCACTCTGAACTTAAATCTTAGACCTTTTTTTTTTAAAAAAAAAGAATTGTATCTATATCTTTAACATTTTTTGTTCGGGTTACTTTTCAAAAATAATTTTTGATATTTATTTCTAGGTCTTCCATTGTAGATAATTACTTGAAATGTTAATATTATACAAAATAAGGGAAATATAGGGTTTGTATCTACCTGGAAGAAAATAGATTCTTAAAGATCAGTATATTAGTGGGGTTCTTTTTGGTCATTGTTAAACTATTACTCTTAATAGACTGTGGCAAATTGGCAAAGAAAAAGAAAGCTATATGCTGAATAGTTTTTAGGATTGAAGAGTCATTTAAATCTTTTGCTTCAGAAAATTGAGCTTTTTATGTCTGTGCATGCTGTTTTTTCAATGTAGTATAATAAATAATTTGACAGAGGACCCTCATTTAATTAGATTGCTCTTCTATGCTATGCAAAGGAAAATAGAAATCTTTAAAAAGTAAGCTTATATTGAGTCTTTAGTAAGAAAAAATAAAGCCTCTCCTCAAACATTGAAACTGTAACTTAGATTTAAGGTAAATTAACCTCAGTCGTCTTGTTTTTAATTACTAATATAATGCAATTATAGTTGATATTCAGCATGTTGACTTCCAGAAAATATAAAATTCCCCCAGTCATAAAACAAACATTCATTTAAGCTCAGTATGTTATGGTGATTAAAGGCTTAGTCCAGATGACTCCAAATTCCATTTGAGTATTTATGAAAATATATCTTAGTCATAACTGCCCAAACTTTCTCTGTACTTCACAACCCTTATGTCACAATTATAATAAAAATGGTCATTTGAAACACTTAACTTTTTTAATTCTCATAACATTTTAATGAGAAGCAAATTATTGCATGTTGCTTATCTTATGTTACTACTTAGCCAGGACATAGCCTTAGAAAAGCTTGCATCTCACAATCTCAATAGGTATTTTAAATTAACAGACAGCACTCACAAGAACCATTATGTTTTAGGAAATAGTCTAAAAATTCATAGTATTTCAAAAACAGTACTTTCATATAACCATGTAAATGTAACTGTAGCATGTGTCACTTACAGGCTATAAACCTGATCTTTGTAGGAGTTATAAATTTAGCAACAGTCACAATAACAAAAACCAACTTGGAATCATAAACTATGAAAGATGGTGAAGCCACTGACAGCTACTGAGATGGACAAAACTATTCCCTGTATGTATTTTACACGCAAACATATATACACCCTGATACATGTGAGGAGTACCCCCCCAAAATGGAGGGTTTTTTTGCCCAAGCTATGTACTTAAATTTTTTTACAAAACAACCTTATCACCTTCAAAGTACTTTCCATTACACTTAATTCATTGGTCAAATCTGCGATTCCATTCCTGAGAACATTTTTCAAACTAATCTGTTTGGATGGCTGACAGCACCTCCCTCGTATTTTTTTTTCCACCTATTCTACTTCATCAAATCACTGTCTTTTCATGTCCCTCTTCATTCGTGGAGACAAAAAGAAGTTGCAAGGTGTGACATCAGGTGAATAAGGTATGTCGGGCAAGAGAAATATGCTGTTTTTGCCCAAAACTGGCACACTGAGATGACTACGTGAGCAGGTGCATTGTTGTGGTGGCAAAACCAGTACCCTGTCTGCCACAAATCAGGCCTTTTTAAAATCACGTGCTGTTGATGCAGTCTTTTCAGAACCTCGAAATAGAAAGCTTGATTAACAGCCTGACCTGGTGAGATGAACTCCAAATACACTGTTCCCTTCACCTCAAAAAACAAATAGACATCTTCTTGATCTTAGATTTCACTTGAGGAGCTTTTTGGGGGCAAGGTGATAATGACGTCTTCCACTGGCTTGATGGATGTTCACTTTCTGGGTTGTAAGAATAGCATCATGTCTCATCACTAGTAATGACCTTGGGGGGAAATCTGGGTTACTTCAGAGCTGTTCTTTGAAAGCAAGGCATGTTTCCAGTCTACACTGGACTTTTTCCTGGTCTGTCAGAACCAGAGGCACAAATTTCGCAGCAACCTTACTCCAAAATGTTCTGTTAATGTTTGCTGAACTGAGCACCGAGATAGTCCAGATAACTTCTCCATCTCTTCAATTGGCCATCATCGGCCTTTGAGGACAAGTGTACAAATTTTGTTGACATTTTTGTCTGTTCAGAAAGTTAATGCATGTTCAGGCTTGATGTGTTCTCACTCAACACTTCACCTGTTTTGAAATGAGAAAACCACTGGGACACTTGAGTTTTCCCCATAGCGCTGTCCTTGTAGCTGTGTTCAACATCACAACCGTTTCTGCGGCATATTTCCCAAGCAGGAAACAAAATTTCACAGCCACAAGCTGTTCTATTAAATCAGCCATCACAAAAAATGAAATTCGAGCAAACTACTTTTATGAAAAACTTAACTGTGACCAGAAAGAACCTTCCCAGGCGACACCACTGGGTACACTAACTCAGAGCGAGTTGCTCAATACTCCCCTAGTGGGAAAAATGCATACAATGAAATTTCTGCCCAGAGAAGCTTTTTTTCCCGTTTTTTGGGGGGGTACCCCTACACACACACACACACACACACACACACACACATATATGCATTTCTTATTTTTAATATTTTTTATTATGTGTACAAATTGTGATCTTAATGCCATTGGGTCAATTCTGACTCATAGTGATCTTTGAAAATTTTGTTATTATGATATATATAAAATTTATTTATATAATACCAAATTTAATGATTTCATTAGTTCTTTATCAATCCTTTATTCCTGTCCTTTTTTTCTTTAAAAAGGCCCAGAATATTTTATGATAGAGTTTGAATGCTCTAGAGACCACCTTTTTGTGAAAAAAGAGGTGATCATAAAGTGAGTTTTTGTTTTAACAATAAAAAAGTATTTATTATGGAAGACCCAATTAAAAATATTATTCTTCCTTATAATTTCAATAAGAGCATAATTTACTATTACTATATTATGATTTGCCTAGTAGGTTGCAATTAGAGAAGACTTAAGTGAGGAGCAAGGGAGAATTATAAGACTCCAATGAAGAACAGTGAAAAGACAAAGAATGCATTCTTTAAGAATTAGTTAACTTTGAATTTTATGATATGTGAATTACATACCAATAAAACTGCTGTGAAGGAAAAAATCAGCAGCACTATGCTGAACACAGAGTATATACACACAGATTAGTAAACTTTCTCTGAATATGACTTACACTAAAATATTTCATGTTTAAAATGATAGTATAATTAAATCAAAACTGAATTTCCACATAAGATTATTATCCCACCTTTTACTATTTTAAAAATGTCTAGTGTTTTTGAAATTGCACGATCATACGAAAAATTTCTAAACAACACTTTAATGAAAAGTCCCCGGATTATAGTGAAAGATAAGCACATTTTCTGGCAATTTAGAGTAAGTTTGACATTTGTATGTAAGTAAATGACACATGTAAATGATACCATAGTCAGATTGCATCTTGTCATTTTAATGAGAAAGTATAGTAAAAAGTTTATTTTTTACTTTTTGCAGATGTCTACTGCCATTTGTAGTTCTGCTTCATTAATGTTAAATGAAGTTACATAAAAGTAGTAAAACAGAAAGCCTTTATACTCATGTTATAATAATAACTGGTTATCATGCAGATAGTTCTATAGATATCAGACATAATTTCCTGTGTCCATCTATTTTCTTAAATGTTCTTCAATTATGTATGGAAAACTTGAGTGCATCATAAAAGGTAATAATAAGGTTATGGGGGGTTAATGTGCTTTAAATATGGAGTGTGATATAAAAGGATAGGTTCATGGAGATTCTTACCTTTTTTACCAGGTTAATCTTAATGATCTATTTGACTTGTAAGTGGTATTGAGATTTTAGAATATTTAATTTACTAAAGGGCTTGTTTTCTTAATACAGTCAGCTCTCAGTAAAACCAATTTTGTGAATTACTTGCTATTTAAACAAAAATTTTAGTCACAAACTGGATTTTTTTCTCTCTCTCACCATTTTGTGTTTGTTCTTATGAATAAAATCTGATTATAATGTCTGTCCAAATAAACAACCCAAATGTGAATCTGACACACAGCAGGAAAAAATAGAAAAGCATTCCAAAATCACTTGTGCATTACTTTTCAATTCCTTGTGGATTGCCCTTTCTCCTGTATTATTAGAATGGCTGAAAGTTGACTGTATTTAGATAACTCATTAAATATTATGCTTGGTACTGACTTCTTTTAAAGTTTAAAGTGATTTTCTTTAAATATTTAACGAGAGCCCAGAAAAAAAGAAAGAAATATAAAGTCCTGATATTCTTCTGACATAATTGTTACTTTATCTTTCCTGGAAGCTAAACGAAGTCAATCTATCGGCAACTGTGTTCACCTTTCTGAGGCTTTGCCTGCCACTAAAAGTGTCCCGCTCTTCCACACCATGAGCGTTCTCTTACCTGGTCTCTCTTACTCTTCTTGCTCCCACAGCCTTTCAGGTACTGTAATGCTGTCATTTCCTGTGTCCATCGGTGTCTGTGGGCCTCTTCCACTTGCCATTGAGCCTACCTCCCTTTGTTCTCACCCGACATCTCACACGCCTGCCTGGCATTTCACTTTCCATTTGTTTTTAATTATATCAATAATTATTTTTATATAGATTGGTGTTTAGTGGACATTAGATAATTTTAAGGAATTCTTTAACTTCACAGGTCTCTACATTTATAATCAAAATAACTCTTCTTTAGTAATTTTTCTAAAAGCCCTTGTGAATTACTTGTGGATTGCTAATTTCCAAAACAAAAAAACTTTAGTTCTGGCCTTAAGCAATTAACATTCATTTAGTCACTGTGTGACTTATACACAGTGTGTTTTATGGTTTAAGATATTTATCATGTTACAGCACAAAAATTATTTTTGGTCAAGTCACAAGATTTGTAGCTGAAACAAATGACAGCATGCAGTAAAAGGATTCAGTTACTCCACAGTAAATAATCTCACTGCTACCGACTTCGTTCTGACTCAGAGTGAGGAGCTCTGATAGTATGCAGGTCACAGTCTTGAGGTCAGCAGTTGGAAATCACCATCTGCTCCTCAGGGAAAGAAGAGGCTTTCTACTCCTGTAAGCAGTTACAGTTGTGGAAACCCACAGGGGCACTTCTACCCTGTCCTTTGGGGTCACTATGAGTCTGGATTGACTGAATGGAAGTGAGAGGCAGTGAATAATTAGGTCTGTATTCCATTATTATTCCTGGTGAGGCTATTGGGTAAGCATTGAACTGCTAACTGCAAGTTCAGCAGTTTAAGCCCATCAACCACTGTGCTGGAGAAAGATGAAGCTATTTGTTTCTATAAAGATTTATCATCCTGGAAATCAGAATCAAATTGATGGCATTGGGTTTGATTTGGTTTTTTCAGGAACCCATCTCGCAGAAAGTATGGCCAAATTTGGCCAAATTAGGTCCAGGTGTGCGTGTTTGACTGTCTGGTCTGAGAGTTATAGTCCTAAAAACACTGTACAGGGTTGCTTTAAGTTAGAATCCACTTGATGGCAGTGGGTTTGGCTTTAGGTTTTTAAGGGCAATGATGACTTTATGCAGTGGTGGGATTCAAATAATTTAACAACCAATTCAGTGCCCTAAGGACAGTATTAAGTATAAAAATTGATATACTCAAAGGTGCTTTATTTTGTCATGCATTGACTACTTAAATAAGAACAATAAAAGAGGTCCACAAAACTAGTTTATAAGAATGTTAAAATGTTAAAGAAAAAATATTAAATAATACCTGACCCAAATCAACAAAACTGTTATTTATTGGCATCCTTTCTTGCAATATTCTTTGCTTTTATCTGAGCATCATTGGTCATGTAATTTGTCCTTAATCAATTTTTCACTGTAAGAGTAGGATCCCATTCATTTAGAGGTAGGCCAATTGGACAGTAGTCATTATGTTTGATACATTGGAAACAGGTGACTTCTCTTCTCTGAACATATTATGTTCATCTTTGAAAACCCCTTTCCACTTCTGCCAAGCTTACAGCAATTGTTCTGACAAGATTTGTAGCTGAAACAAATGACAGCATGCAACACTCGGGTTATTTGGTCCTCTTCTCTTTGTGCTATATGTTTACTGAAGTAACAATCACAGGGAATAAAATGTAGTATTTAATCAAAAGTATAACAAGCTTTGTAAAATGAATAAAATATTACAAGCCTAGTTCTCGCTAACTTTTTATACCTATAGACAGTATGGCTATTACTAGGGGCGCTTAGAATATACTGTTGCACATATGAATATTAAAAAACAGTATGGAATGTAAATGTGTGATTTCCACATTAGGCAGCTGCCCAACTGCTTACCTTATTGAGAACCTTGACTACAAGTGCCATTTTAGCAACTAGTTTACCAAACTCAACAAAAAATTAGTTATCAGTTCTGCCAAACATGCAAATTGGCTGAACCCCACCACCGACTCTGCAGTAGAATAATCAGCTTTTGTGCAGGAGACCTGATTTGATTCTTAGCCAATGCACTTTAAAGGCAGCGACTGTTTGTCTGTCAGTGGAGGCTTCTGTATTGCTATGGAGGCTGAACAGATTTCATCAGTATCTAGATTAGAACACATTAGGAAGCAAGGCCTTGTGGTCTACGTCTAAAACAAATCAGCCAGTGAAAACCCAATGGATCATAATGGCTCAGTCTCATTGCTGTGGTTCAGGAACTTTCTTGACAGCAGCTAACAAAAATAACAAAAAGTGAACTCAGTTTACGAAAGAAGAAACTATTTCCATGTTATTTTTTATTTTCAGAAGTTTGTCTTTACGGATTGTTATTTATTTGATATTGGAGGTAGACTAATGATAAAGCACTTGATAATTAGCTGGAAGGTTGAACCACCCACCTAGAAGCCAAGCCTGGTGAACTGTTTTCAAAACAGCACAATCTTGAAAACACGAAGGAGTGTTTCTACTCGGTACAAATAAGAGTTATGAATTAAAATGGACTAGATGACACATGACAAAGAAAAAATATACTTTATTGTTTAGTTTCTAGAATAAGAGGTAAGGAATTACTTTTACCAAGACTGAAGAGGACAGCATTTCTTTGCTTATTAATGTTCTTACATAAATGAGGTGCACATGCATATCACACCCAGGGTGAATGCAGTATTTGGGTAATGATCTGTATAATATTTCCTAGAAACTTTTTTGGTTTAAGTCACTACTGAAGGTAAAAACTAATAAGGGTGATACAAGGAAAGAAGCTCACTTGTCAATTAAATAACTAAAATGTAAAATATTTTGTGCTAGTCTGGGTAAACTAGGGAAACAAATCCACAGAAACCCCTATGTATAAGAGAGAGTTTATATAAAGGGAAAGTGTACATTAAGAAAGCATCCCAACCCAGTGCTGTCCAAGCCCATAAGTCCAACATTAGCCCCTATGTCTGAACACCGATCTACAAAGTCCTCCTCCATCTCACAAAACAAGCAGTATGATGCCGACTGCGGGAGGAAAGCAGAATCAGTGAATGTATAAGCATCTCAGCACT